AAGTCTTACAGTTTTCATAACGGAGATACAGGGTGAATTATCGGTTTTGAATAATTATTCACTCGCGATTCACTCGTCCATAAGTATAGGTCAATGAATCCATCGTCCCAAGTAAGCTCAATACCAAATTTGAGAAAATATCACTGCGATGGGTAGTTCAATACTTATGGACGAGTGATAATTCACCCTGTATCTCTGTGAGACTTAGTAAGTTCTTTCGAACGATCATTCAACAAGAATATACCAAATGATCATAATTGAAAGTGGTTTCATAATTTTAATACTCTTGAAATTGACATACTTTTAGCCTCCTGTTTATGATTGTTACGATGAGAATTGGTGGCGGGAAAACAAAAAGCATCAAATCCAGTTCAGTTTTGTCTCTTCTTCACGATTCCTTTGATGAACTTTGTCAATTATTACATACAGTGTGTTATTTTAATATTTCGAATAAATGTAAATTTTTCCTGAAGCCGAACCTGGATTTTCTCTCCGCCCGATAGGTGAATGAATTCAACGTCCCAAGTTCAAGCTCCATACCAAATTTTAGAAAAATATACTGGGTAGTTCAATACTTATAGACGAATGAATAATTATTCGAAATCGATAAATCGCCCTGTATCTCCGTTATGAAAACTCTAAGACCTATCAAATATGGTATTTTCAGAACCACCTTGGTGACCCCTATCTACCATTGAAATATTTCCCTTTACCTGTGAAACACCCTGTATGTATATAGTTTTCATTTATGAAATTTGGTAATTTCTCTGATTTCTCATAGGAATTCCTTCTGTCATAGGAGCTACTAGAAATACTCGTGTAATTTCTAAAATAATGCAAGGAGATTGGATTCATGCAATCAAACGGGAGGACCGGTCTGACAAGCTGACGAAATATGATCGTGTGTGTTGTAGACATTTTCAATCTACTAACAGTATTAGCTTCTATTGCAGGAGTGGCAGTAGGAATTTTGATATGAAATGACAAAATATCATGATGAAAACTATGTGAGACTACTATTACCTGAAAAATCATATTCCTTCGCCTCTCGCTGCATTTTTTGTGCATTGTACAACAGCATGCTTGAATTGATGAATAGCGCAAAAACACGATGACAAAATATTGCGAAAAACTATTCCAATCCTTCGATTCCTCTGTTAACAGATAAAATAAGTGAGCTTGTGTTCCAATGTTTTACAGAAAGGTGAGGTTATGTTTCAATATTTCACCTCCAGGGTCGGTCATCGTGCACGCGACCTATTGGAGGTACAAAAAAACTGGAAATACTTCTCCATAGCAACTTTTTATGGAATTCAACATGGTGATATTGATCCCTCTAGACGAGGTTTCGTATTTGTAGAACCATCATAAACTCATTTTCGTTGAATGCGGTCGTGACTAAATCATTTCACATTGAATGTATCACAAGAAACAGTGATTTAATTAATTCTATACAGGGTGTCCGGGAATTATGCGCAAAAAATCAAGGGGGTGATTCTACATGGACTCATAATATCCAGTGGCGTCCCGGGGGGCAACCTACCGAATATTATTGTCAAAAGATGTGCGCCACTAATTTTCTTGAATTCTGTATCTTCATAACCTATTGACCAACTTGAAATACATGGACATGGATAACACATTTAATTTCACCCCTGTTTGTGAAGCAATGTTTTGCACAAATTTATACAATCAATTTTTTTTATTTTTTTTTCCACAGAAACGCAGCAAAATTGCAAAACAATTCAAGAGACTAAAATGTTGTATTTTCAGTTAATCATTAGGATATGAAGATAGAGAATTTGGAAAAATCAGGAGCGCACATTTTATTGACAAAAATATTTGGTAGGGTGCCCCCGGGACGCCACTGGATTTCACAATTCTGATTTAAGAATGGTTGAATCAGCCCCTCATGACAAAGAATATCATAACCGAATTTGAAGAGAATTGGTGAAAGAATATTCGAGATATTCATAAAAAAACATTTTTTCTAAAAAGTTTTAACACACTGTATCTTGAAAACTATGCATTTCCGCACTGAAGTATATATAAAATTATTTTCATGTTTGCTCATGCAGAATCACCCCCTTGATTTTTTGCGCATAATTTCCGGACACCCTGTAATCGAGGTAGGTACAAAACCAACCCATTTGATATTGAAGCTAGGTAGCACGAGGAGATAGTAAATAAGTGAAGTTGACGAATTTGTTCCGATCGATTGTGTCAATCTCTGACAAACTGGAATGATGAATGGAGTTTCAATATGGAAGCAACATATTATGTATATCATTACATTAATCTGATATTCATTGTAGTGATCTTGAATATACTCACATTTCTAAGTAATAACCTCGTAATAACCCAATTTACACAGATTGATCCCAGATATATAAAAGGGCATCACATTCATGCCACACATCACATCCGTCCGATGACTGCTATTTCGGACCCTTTTGGTCATTTATGATGCCAAATGAAACTCACAGTACGTATTGCGACTCCTCATAAAACATCAGAATTGATTGATTCCGTTTGTAACATAAATAGACAATAAGACTGTGAGTTTCTAGTAAGTGTCTTGATTGTTAGGGAGCCTCACAAATTCACCTACATCTTAAGTCTCAAATCCAATAATTGAATCTGATGAAAATTGCGAATGTTTTGTGAAATAAAGAGTCCCTTGGCAATACCAATGATGTTTCATTGTAATTCGCATTGTTACCTTTCGAGATATGAATATGACATCCCAGGGACGTTTATGTTCACTGGAAACCTTGATTGTATGAAAATAATAACCAGAAACTTTGATTCTGTTTATAGACCAGATCTTCCTATATGAATTCAGGTACATTTTAGATATCCTATGGATGTACAGTGAGAATGTCCTATAGTTGATATCTGTTATTGACATCTGGCATTGATTAGTTCGTTTAGAACTTTCCAAGTTCCTATGGAAAGTGGGGAAAAGTAAATGTCCCATGGATGTCCATATGTAGTCCAGTGTACGCATTTTAATTGTCCATTGGATGTCCAGATTTTCCAGAGAAGTCTGTCCATTGGATGCTCAGATTGTCCAGAGGAGTTTGTCCATTGGATGTCCATTGGACTAAGTTGTGTTATTATGATATTCGGAAGTTTGATTTCTTGATCTGGTAAAGAAACGAGGTAAACCCCTTTGAACTTTTTTCAACCAATTCAAGGTGTCAGTTATTCTCGATATGCTGTTTGTATTTATCACTATTATATACAATGACAAGATGACATAGAGTTTTTCGTATACAGGATCCGATATTATCGATGTTAATTTTTTTTTTGTGAAATTTCAATATCGCTACTTCAAAGTTGGGAACCAACTTCCCAGAAATCGAAACATGTGCGAGGTTAGAAAGAGCGGGACCTACAGCTTATAGTGGAATTCCAACCACTTCTAGGACATCGACATTTTGAAGAAAAATGCTCAGCCGATAGCGATTCGATCCGACAGAACCTCCGCATCGTGAACGGCTATCTGGCGAATTCCAGCGCATAGACAAACCCACGGCGCCCACCACAAGAATGTGAAGTGAGAACTTCTCTATCCCTATAAGTTTCCTTGATATTCGTATTCGTTAGAAATGGAAATGATGAATTGATAGAAGATCCAACTTCCATTGCGAATAGTTTCAATATGTTTTTCAAAAATGCTCCACTGAATGTTATAAAAAAGTTCCAAAATTCCACAAACTTGTCCAATCCACCAGAAGAACATTTTCCTTCAAATAAGTTTTTATTGCTAGCTTACAACCAAGATGAATTATACAAACTCTTATGGTTCAAACTGAAAAATACATTCTCATCTGGATTTGACGATGTACCAGGATTTCTATTACGAAAGACTCTGGGCTTCATAATTTCAATAAATATTTCTCGTGCTCTACGGTGAAGTTTTTAGGTGTACACTTGGATGAATTTCTCAGCTGGAAAGTTCATTGTGGAACAATTATATCAAAACTGAACTCTACGAATTTCCTTCTTAGAAACCTTCGTCATATTCTCGAACAAAAACAGCTGATTATGCTGTATTATGCCCAAGTCGAATCCCGCCTTCGGTATGGTATTACTTTCTGGGGATCTTCTTCCTCATGCAGAGATGTTTTTGTCGCCCAGAAAAAAATTATAAGATGTATAGCAGGAGTCTCGAGAAGTACAAGCTGCAAGAGCTTTTTTAAAAATTTCAAAATACTAACATTACCGTGCTTGTATATATTTGAGTTATGCGTTTTTATATTTGACAACCGTAACTGTTTTGTAAGGAATGAAAATGTGCATACTATTAATACTAGATCTAAGACAGACTTTTATGTACCATTTTGTAAAAACTTATTGACCTATAATTCTCCAAATGTGATTGGGCTCAGATTATTTAATCTGCTCCCCATTGAACTGAAAAACTCTAGTACTATCTATAGCTTTAAAATTGCACTCAAGTCCATCCTTTTAGAAAACAATTATTACTCCATTCAGGAAATGATTGAATAAGTATTTGGTGTTGTAATCCATTTTTAACTAATTGTCCTTGAATAATGTGTTTATGTACTAATTGTCCTTGAATAATGTGTTTATGTGTTACTGCTTGTAAAATTTCTACTTACTTATTTTAGCTTTTATTGTTAAGGTTCTTTCGTGACTAATCCTACACAATGTAACATTTGATTGTCTCACATGATAATAAAAATTATTATTATTATATTATTATTATTTGAACAAATTGAGTAAAAATTCTAGAGAGCTGTGTTACTTAGAGTGGAGTCAAAAATTGAGTTTTTTTGCGAAAGCTAGAAATCTATGTGCTTCTACTCCGCACTAGGGAATCTCTCAAGGACCTTTAGATCAAATATGGAATACATAATTAGCTAAAGTACTCCCAATCGCAATCATTTTCTTTCTAACATGGAACAATACAACAAAAATATTCGATTTTGAACATAAATGGGAAATTCGATAAAACGTTTTTGTTACAGACGTTTTCAACTTAGTTCCCACCATTAGACAACTGTTCATATCCTCCAACAAAATCGACTTCATCGCGAGTGGAGCCTTTTCCAATATGGAGTCGCTCGAATGGATCGTCTTGACCGAAAATGCACTCACATATTGGAACAGAGACTGGTTTGAGAACTGTCCCAAACTAAAGTATATCAGAATCTCCAGCAACAAAATATCCGTTATCCCGAGAAGAGCGTTCGCATCGCTGCCGTCGCTACTTGGCATCGATTTCACAAGGAACAAGATCACCATCATCCAACCAGATGCCTTCCGGAACTTGAAAAGCCTCGTTTATCTAGGCCTGGACCAAAACGGGCTCACAGTGCTGGACGAGCGAGCGTTCCCCAACAAAATGCACATCGAGAATCTGAATATCAACAACAACCGCCTCAACTATTTGCCGGACAAGCTGCTGAGCAAGTTATCTGTCGGGAGCATCATCATGGATCAGAACCCCTGGAAGTGTCAATGTCTGCAGAGGATACACGACTGGCTGTTTTTCACCAGCGGCAGCGTCAACGTATCGATGCATCACTGCAGAACACCGTACGACCCGATTTGCGTAGTTGCTCGAGGTAAAGCATGCGAAGAAAGTGTTGAAGAAGATTCGACGCGAAGGTACATCGGACATATGAGAACTTTGACTCAGTCGTTGGGGGAAAAGTGTGCGATTTTGTTCTCTCAAACTGTGGTACAATGAACGCGAAGGTATATTGGGAATATAAAAAATGTGACTCAGTCATTGGAGGAAGCTTGTATTTTCTTGTTCAATATACGCGTAGGTACATCGAGAATATGTGAGCCGTCTAGTGTCTTTATTTTGTCTCCCAGACTGAAGTAAAATTCACGTGAAGGTACCTATATTGAGCATATGAAAAATTTGAGTGTACCGTTGGGAAAAATTGGTGTTTATTTGTGCTCTTATATGAGAGTATGATTATAATTTATCCAACACTACTTCGGAAATTGAACGTTCCGCAGTTTCATTGTTCCTTGGACTTTTTCAAATTTTGCGCTCCGTTGGAATAGAGGTCATTCCAATACTTGTTGTAGAATAGTTATAATATTAGGTGAAGCGTAGTTTCAGAATAGAATATTGTTTCACATGGAGTTAAAGTGTGATTATTCGTGTTGGACCCACCAGATACCTAATCAAACTCTTCACCCAGGAAAAGATTTTATAAATGTCTGTAATCATTTATAGATAGATATCATTTATTTGACACGAAAGTTCCGAACAAATAGGTTCCGAATGGTATGTGAATAAACGTGGCGACACAGCGATAGCTATTTGTGTATTTAGAGCGCAAAGTGATAGATTGCCGCTCGACAAAGAAAGTTACCGAGCGATGCGGAGCGGAGCGCGGTAATCCTTGGAGAGCGGCAATAACACTTTGTGCTCGAAATACACACAAGATTTTTTCTACTAACGCAGCTTTTGGAAATAACTACCCTGAGAGTATGAGCGATTGAAATAGTTGAAAAAGTTCTTATCCATATTATCTCATATGTCCAAAGGAAATAAAAAAAAAATTAAATAACTGACAAGGCAGAAAAAAATGTCGGGCCTACTGAGAATTGAAACTGGACCACCAGCGTGGCAACCTGAGCCTCCGACCTCTGAGCCATAGTACGATAAACTCTGCAATCAAATTGAACATTACTCATTGATGCAATAAAATAAAGATGCACTGTCTTTCTGATGACAACAAAGAGTTCGAATATCAAGTATAATTCATCGTTTTCAACAGATATGCTTCATCGGGAGCTTCTTGTTGAAATTTCTTGGTAAATTCTGCGGTGAATGTTTTGGATTTTTCTCGCTTTATATCCAATAGATTGTTTCTTGAGAAATGCGATAAGTTTCAGATACTTATTGATTCCGATATTACCTTTAATATTCAAGCATGTATACGTACCCTCGAATATATAGATCAATGAGTTGATGACTCCAAAGTCTTTGATTTTTTACCAAAATAAGCCAGTTAAACGTTTTCTGAATACATTTTCACCATCTCGGAGTGGTACCAATTCATGAATGTATCATATTGTAATTCATATTTCTTCCTTGATTTCTCTGGTATAAAAGATTCGAATATCATCAGGAAGTGTGTTTGATGATTCACTGTCAATATATTCCATCATGAAAGATTTGGGGGATATCAAGAAAAGATAAGTATAGGTTACAGAGATGTGTGCGAGCATTTTTTCAATATTTTCGCTCACGAGCACAAATGCTGTCAAAGAATAACATTTCTGGGAAAACGTCAACTTTGTGCTGGAATTTGAAAGCGTCAAAGGCTACTTCGTTGAGCGTTTGTAGAAAAAGTATCATAATGAATGAGCAATATGCTTAGAAGGCAATGTTATTTTCGTTTGTGCTGTTATTTTGTTTTCAGTATTCTGTGTGATTCGTTTTCGTTGTTAGAGTTAATAATAATTATTGATTGTCTAACACCTTTTCCAATAATTGTATTCCAGAAATCGTCGATTCAATTTGAGTAAGCTTCAATTTAATTTCAGAATAGTCACTTATTGTATCTAAAAAGTATCGATTGTATTCCAGGATAGTCGATTTAATTACAGAAATCGTCAATTGAATTTTGGAATCATCACTTGTATTTCAGACGTCAAATGAAATTTTCAGAAATACAAATGACACTTTCTGAAATTCAATAGACTATTCTGAAATATAATTGACACTTTATGTAATCGAATTGACTGTTCTGGAATACAATTAACGTATTCTGAAATACTAGTGACTACTCTGAATTACAATGGACGCTTCCTGCAATTGAACGGACGCTTTCTTAAATACAATTGGAAAAGATGTAGTTTGATACCTAGTTTAAGGTAAGTTAGTTACAGATATACCTACTGAATATGATTGCCTTCATTATTATCCTGAGAAACATTGTTGTTCATCATAGGAATATACAACATCAACATAAGATAAGTTGGACGAATAAGAAACAATAAACTAATAATAATTGTACAATTGTTTTCCAACAAAACAAAAAAAAAACAACATCCGTTTCAAGTAGTATAAAATCAATCATGAATAATGTATATTATATGTTTTTCACTTCATTTATATTCTTCAATACGTTAGGTAATGAGATGAGTGGCGAAGACAAATTTTGTCAATTATTCAAGGTCGAATGCCATCAAATTGAAAATTGGATTTTGAAACAGCTGCTATTTTTATCAATATGAAAAATTTGAATACAAAACATACCTACTTATTGATTTTATTAACTACTCAGGTACAACATGTTATGTATGGATGGATGTGTACCTACTCATACATACATAATATGGCGAATACGCAGAGGGTACAGAGCCATAGACATAGGGCAGAAAGCACAGAAACACAAATTATTGAAAGAACCAGAGCTAATCACATACGAACCCAACGAGGCTGCAATGATAATAATTATCATAAAACCTTGTTTATATGTTGTGAAAAAACTATAACTTTTAAATGAGCAGGTGAATCAAACTGCAATATGGATCCATATATGTAAGAGACTTCATTATAATCAAATTAGAATCATTCTCCTTAAGTACTTATAGAGAAGTTACATTCAACAAATTGCTTCCTTTCGCTGAGATAAGATCTCAAAACTTGATTGCTTCGACCGCGAATACCATAAGCTTCTATAGAACATAAAAGAATTTCGTGGTCGACACAATCAAATGCTTTAGTGAGATCGACAAATATTGTCAATACTTTGTTTTGTTTATCTAAATTTTTGAATATGTAATTCAAAATTTGTAGAAGATCAGTTATTGTCGATTTTTTCTCACGAAAGCCATGCTGATAGGATGATAAATTTGTTTGTTTTCTAAAAAGGCCAAAATTCTAGTAGCTAGCAGTTTCAAATATTTTTGAAAATACTGATAAGATTGCTATAGGGCGATAATTACTGATTCGTGTGCTATCACCTTCCTTGAAAAGAGAGAGTATTTGCGCTAATTTAAGTATACTAGGGAAGGTGCCGGCTTTGAAACATTCATTTATGAGGAGTACCAGAGGTTTGGATATCTCACGAGAGCACTGTTTTATTATTTTGATGAAAAAATTGTCATGACCTACTGAATTGGAGACTTTCAATGCACATATAACATTCATGCATTGTTTCGTTGGTTGTCACTGGTAATAAATACATCGATTCATTTACAGCAGTGACAGGTGACTGTTCGTTTGGTCGGATTGAAGTGTTTGGAGAACGTAGTGACTTTGGTAGTTTTACAAAATATTTATTGAAATGATTAGTGATGATCTGGTTGTCTGTGACCAAAACATTGTCAACTTCTAACTTAAAATCACTTGGAGATGAAACATTTTTTGTTGTGCTGTTCATAATTCTCCAGACCATTTTTGACTTGTTTGACGAGTTTATTATGATATCATCAAAGTACATCTGCTTTGCACGTCGTACAACTTTTTTGTAAATTCTTTTGTATTGTCTATAGAAGTCATCTCTTATCATACCAATTTTTTTCTGACTGAACAAATCTTTTAGTCTGGTCGACGATACTCTTATTCCAGTGGTGATCCAGTTATTATTGTTTCTATCAAGATTTTTGGTGATGAATTTAAAACAGGTGTCATAATGATATGTCAGGATTGAATGAAACGATGAGTATTTATCATCAACGGTACTGTTGTTGAAAACATTATTCCATGCCTCTGTAGCCAAAGAATTAATAAATGTATTGATGTTTTTCTTAGAAAATGATCGAATTTTGAACCACCCTGTATTTGTTCCAATTAAGTGTCAGTAGATGGTGAATCAAAAGTTAAGATAGGGACATGTAAGCCGTTTCGACCAATAATAAATAGTTTCAACACAACAAAATCACAAAGTTGAAAAATATTGATATTGAACACCCTATATCTCTATAAACAGTTCAGCTAGTCCCCATCAAGTGCAATACATTGATGAAATCAGCTCTTGAGGGAGAATCTGAAAACGTAATAATATAAAGGGTCTTATTTGAAAACACTCATCATCAACCCATATCTTGGAATTCTAACACCTTATAGATATGAAAATAATTTTATGTGATAGTTCCCAATGAACTCTATAACTGTTATTGTATTCGAATGTTTTCTATATATCTGACGGTTTGGCTAATATAGAAGAAGAACACACTATTGACTCACCAGTATATAGGGTGAACAAAAACTGTTTATTCATCAAAATACATTAACATTTATAATTATATTTCGTATTCCTCGTCCAAATGGATATTTACACTGGTAGTTTTCACTCATTCTCATCGAGCACATTTCTATGCAAGGAAAGTGAACAGTCAAGATTATGAGAAGTCGAAACGACAGAGTATGAAACTTTTCGAGAAGGCTTCTGTTCAGTTTATGGATCGAAAATAATAAAATGTGTTTTTCAATATCAACAATTTATTAATTTCCACGAGGAAGTACACTGCTCAAAACACCAAGCAATAATATAATATATGGATACACATCAGACACATGCACGGAACATAATTATTATTTGATTATGGCGTACCTAATTCTCGCAGAAACTATGAAAATTGACAAACAAGCAATCAATGTCAATACATCTCATTGTTGCCAACTTAACATACAATTAGATAAATACACACGGAATTCAAATAATTGTAGCATATTCACTTATAATCTAATTACAAGATATAAGCAACATACAT